CCCCCTCCCAGCGGCAGCCTCTGCAACTGCCCGCCCTGAAGTTTGTTCCGGCACAGGGTGCAGGTGTTGTCTGGGTGCTGCCAGGTGCTGCTGTCCACCAGGTAGGCTCCCTTCCTTTCCATCGTGGTCACGTCAATACCCTCACCAACGAGGCTGTGACCAGGCACAAAGGCCGTGTGCTTCTTGCATTCATTGGCCATGTACGTTTGACACTGGGAGGAAGCCCCAGGGAAGATGAAGAGGATGAGAGGGAGAAAGGCACCAAACCTGGGCATTGCTGAAATGATGAATTTCCCCACCCAGAAGGGGCCGCCACCTTCAAACCCCCCTAGAGGGAGAGGGAGAGAGAGGTGCAGATTTAACGGCAATGCAGTGGCAGGCAGTTCCATAGGTTAACATGTTTGTAGAAACACCTACCAGCCATGACATCATCCTTGCTCTATAGCAGACCTACGCAAGCTCTGGTCTCTAGGGATGCTGGGGGTTTTATGGAGATGATGCGATGCCTTATTTGCATGTTTGCCTCTAGACAACCTCATATGCAGCATTCCCCTCCCCTCTGTTTTCCAGGTGTTGCAATACCAGCACTAACCATAAGGGGGCGGTACAGTTTTACATGGCCAATGAGAGCCTGCAATAGAATGGGTGACTGCAATTCCCCACTGGGCCACTAGAGGGAAGTGCCCTAGAATCCAAGGCCTGTAATTGGTCAGTGGCTTGCAAGAGCTTGGCCCCCTGGTGGTGAGGGGGAGTTTGGGTCATGAGGGGCTGTAGAACCTCTGGGGCCCCCTAGTGGCCATGGTGATGTTTAGTCGCTGCTGGAGGGTCGTTTTCTTGGGGTTCTCATGGTCGGCATCAGCCCCAACATCTGGAGCTGCCGCCTTCATACTTTTGCCCTGGGTCAGGCCCATGGGCAGGACACTTCCTACCTCCCCAGAGCAGCCCCATGGGCCCTCCCAGTTTCATTTCCTGTCCCCTGGCTTCTGCCCCTGAAGCTCTGACCTAGTCACACCTCGCTCGGCTTCCTCCCCTCACTGACCACGGGGCCGCCATGGGAAAGGCAGATTTCAAATGGGTTCCACTGAGGTTGGAAAATGTATCGCAGTGGAGGCTCGGGGCAGGAAGGGGGTAGCAGCTCAGCATTCTGTGATGGCAGCCGGCTTGGGGCGGAGGCGACAGGAAACGTCTGAACTCAGCTCGGCAGCAGCAGGCAGGAAAATCAAACCTGAATATTGATGGCCTGGCTCTGTCGGTGCCCCTCTATCATGACTTTCAGTCGCCAGTTTCTCCAGCCCTGGGGTTCCCTCCCCCACTGTGCCAATGCCCCTTTATCTTGACCCACAGCCCCCTGCCGGCCCAGCCTTGGGTTCTCTCTGCCTCCTCCCCCCACTATGCTAGTGCCCTAAATCCTCACTTGCAGCCCCCTGTTTGCCCAGCCATGGGGTTCCTGCCCCTCACAAACTCTGCTGGTGCCCCCACTCTCAATCTGTTGCCCACCTGCTGTTTGCCAGCAAAAAACCAAACCGAACGACATTGCCAGCTGCCCCTGAGATGAAATAGAGCAACTGAGTCCCCTGGCTATCAACAGCAGAGCAGCAAGTTGGTCTAGTGGCTAGAGCATTAGACTGAGAGTCAGGACTGCTGGGGTCTGTTGTTGCTCTGGCAGAGGAACGGAGTCTAGTGCTGGGAGTCAGGATTCCTGGGTTACTGTTCTGGGAGGAGTGTGGGGATTAGCGGCTTACAGAGGGAGAATTGGGGACCACAGTTTTGGCTGCAATGTGTGTGAGATTAGGGTCCCCGCTCTCAGCCACAGACTGAGCTGTGACCTTTGCAATAGAGTCCCCAACTGTGGGCAGGCTCTGAATAGATGCACCATTTCAGATTTTTTTTTTTGAGGGGGGGAGAGAAGCAAGACCTATGAATTCCCTGGAGGGGGAGGGGAAGAGAGTGAGAGCAGGGGGGGGCCAGACTGAAGTCAGCAGCTTCAGAAGCTTTACTAAGCTTGCTGAGTACCAGCCACACAGCAACCTGGGGGAGACCAAACCTATTCGCTCCCCTCCCCCACATATATCACCTCTTCCCAAGGCTACTAAGGTGTCACAAAACCTATTTTTCTTGCAGACCACTGAGCAGTTAGCGGACAGAAGCCCTGTATCTAATTCCCATATAAAAGAAAGAAACTAAATAACGATTAGACCTAGTCCTCTCTAACGTATTCTGACATCTTGTGGCAAGTCCCTGAAGAGACATTAGGTAGCTTTAACTTTTTAATGTCTGTTCTTACTCTGTTACTAACTCTGGAGAGACAGAGACCCCGTCAGGCCTCCTGGGTTCTCTCTCCGCTCTGGGAGGGCAGTGGGGTCTCGTGGGTCACAGCGAGAGGGCAGATACATTTCAGTTCTATGTAAAAACACCGAATGTCCATACTGGGTCAGACCCATGGTCTTTCTAGCCCTGTACCCTGTCAGTCAATAGCAACTCAATGCCCGGTGCTTCAGAAGGAATAAACAGAGCAGGCAAACATCATGATGCATCCCGTCACCCATTCCCAGCGTCTGCCAAACAGAAGCAAGGGACACCATCCCTCCCCATTCTGGCTAGTAGCCACTAATGGACTTACCCTCCTGGAATATATTTCGTTCTTATGGGAAACATGTTATAGTTGGGGCCTTTCCACCAGATCCTGGCAAAGAGTTCCAGAATCCGACAGTGAAAAAATAATGTATTTTGTGGGTTTTAAAACTGCTCCCTGTACATTGAATTGGTCAGCGTCTTATGGTGTTAGTGAAGGAACGAATAACATTTCCGGGTTCTATTTTCCCCACACATTTCACGATTCTCTAGATCTCTACCATATCCCCCCACCCTTTAGTCATTTCTTCTGCAAGCTGAAAAGCCCCAGTCTTGTTAATTCCTTCTCATATGGAAGCTGTTCCTCGCCCCCAATTATTTCTGTTGCCCTTTCTGTACCTTTTCCAAATGCAGTGTATCCTTTTCTAGATGGGGTGACCAGACCTGCATTCAGTATTCAAGATGGGGGTGTAAAATGACATTTTCCTTCCTGTTATCTTTTCCTTCCCTAATGATTCCCAGTATTCTGTTTGCTTCTTAGACGGCGGCTGCACACCGAGCAGACGTTGTCAGGGAACGATCCACAAGGATACCCAGATCTCTTTCTCGAATGGTATCGGTTACTTGATATCTATTGTTAAGATTATACTTTGCCCTGTGCATTACTTTGCACTTGTCAACACTGAATTCCCCCTGCCCTTGTGTTGCCCAGTCACCCCGTTTGGGGAGATCCCTTTGCAACTCTTTGCAGTCAGCTCTGGACTTCGCTGTTTTGAGTAGTTGTGCAGTATCTGCACATTCTGCCACCTCTCTGTTTACCCCCCTTTTTCAAGCAGATTTACACCTTTAACAGCCAAATGCAAATCCCAACAGCACC